CGTGTTCATATTCTCTGTCAGGATAATTTATCAATTGAATCACGAAACTTGGAATTATAAAAGAATCTGAATAAGTTTCGGTTTTGTCATGTTAATTTGATAGATTTTTTTATTTGGTTCTGACCTTTGTTTGATATGTTGAAATGGTCTGGCAATATTCAAAATAACCACCTGTGCTGAGTTTTATGTAATATGTTTTATAGCGATTATAAAATAGTTTTAAATGGCATTTATGTTGAAATGGCAGTAATAAGTAAGTGATATTACAGTTCATAAACAACTTCCAGCTTTAACAAGCTGTTTTAGGCTGCATGTCATCATTTCCAAAATTAAATTATGATGTCATTAGAACATCGTAACTATACGAGCATCTGACTAGGACTAGATCTCAAAAGCAATTTAACCCACACAATCCAATACACCCGCAATACGAGCAACATTAACCGAGCAAAGTATTGCAACCGAAAGATCAACCACAGGAACTGTGACCCGTTGAGCACTGTGACCAAAGAGCAACTGTTATCATACAACGAACTTTGACCAACGCACTGTATCCACATTAGCGATAGTGACTCAGTGCATCCAAAACTATAGAAGCAAAATAGTGGACTTGCGAGAATCCTTGCCACTGTGACCTTAACGTAACGCAATGGTAACCAGAAATTGTAACGTGTCGATTGTAGTTGCTAGTCATGAACAAGATTCAAACCATGATATTCACATCATATAATGTTATGCAAATATATGAGACGCCATAAAAAAAATTATGGCGGATATCACTTGAAACTTGGTAAGCTTGTTTCCGAACATTAGACATCAAAATCGAAAGAGAATAAAACTGCACGGGAAATAAGTCAGATGAAATTGAACACCTTAAGGAAGCTGGTCTTGGCTATTTCGAATCACATCAATTAAGGCCTAAAGACAATCGGAGATGATGGAAGTTTCACGGAAATTACCAAATTGATCTCATCAAGTATTGAATTATACAGACTTGATTGATTTCGTCCACCTTGTATACAGTAAAACCTGATCATAAAACCACCTTCACGAACAAAACACCAACGAACACCGAACCCGACAATCCGTTATCAAGAAACGGGCCCTGTGACTCCTGTATGACCCACTTTGATTGCTTAAAATAACGTCTTCGAACGGGACTGTGGTTGAGAACTTGTGAGATTACAAATAAGACGACAGATATTAAGAAAAAACGAAATGTAAGGTAGTTTTTATATGCCCACATGATATGATATTGTCTGGAGATATTGAGTGTTACTAATCGCCCAAGGATGAACCCTATTGAAATTTGTTCTTAAAAACGCGTTCAAGTTTTAGCCTGTAAACACTCTAAAAGGCCCAATTCTTGACAGATTTTGACGAAACTTGGTAATATTATACAGTTAACGCCAAAAAATTTCAAAAGAGGTGTAAGACTTAAGGTTGAATATTTCATACTGGTAATTGTCACTGTACTACCAAATATTTCTTAAGCTATGGCGTATATTATCTTGCCTGGCAAGCTGTCTTAATAAGATTGACTTATATAATTTTAAAGTAAGTCAGGAGGAGGTTCACTCACAACACGCCAAGTCAAACGAGGGATTTTCCATTGCGTTGAGGTCTTTTAGTGCTTACAGATTTTATTAAATACTGAAATACATGTATAACGCAAACCGATCCTACATCACAATTGTTCATGACAGAATACTTTAATATTTAATAGTTAAAGGGACAGATGTACCATTATTTTGACCAATCGTACCGTAGTATAGGAAAAGGGATTTTTTTTAACCAAGCCAATCAGTAATAGTGTTCACAGCTCACTGTCGAAATTTGAGCCTTCCAATGCATGTTTGTCCAGAATTATCCGCGTTTGATAGTCAAAAAAAGGAGTCATCTTTTCTTGAGACACTGCCTTATATAAAAAAAACATTTATAGAAAAAGAAATTCCTAGTTTGAGATAATTTTGAGGGAAATATGCGATTTTCGTTTCTAGTACTTGCGCAAACTAGTATCTTTAAGATGTGTGACGGAAATTGAAATATGATCATATTCACATTGATATCAAAGATAGCCTGGTTTGACATCTGTTCTTCATGATAACAAACTTTTATCAAATAAAGCTTCTTTACCTGTATTTATAGGTAATGTGTTTTTGTGGCATTACAGTAATAATACGATTATCGTGTGGAATACAGTGGGAATACGTGCAGAGTGAAAAGTACATTGCGATTCTGAAGAAAGTCAAATGGGGTATCTAATGGTGAGAAAATATAATCATATTGGTTAAAAAGCATTTTGTAATATCTCTGTTGATAGCACTGAAAAAGGACTTACGATCAACTATGCAAGATAAACAAAACCATATCCAAAATTATAGTTGGCAATACATTGGTAACAGCAAATATCAGGAAGTATATCAAATATAAATGAGAAAATATTTCATAATGAAAAAGTTGTATCAGGTGTGTTAAACGTTTTGTAATTCAAGAACTTTAAGGTATAGAAAATAATGAATATTGGTTTCAATTCTGTAATACTAAATACATCTAGAAGGTCTGTTGTCTTATATACAGAAAGTACATTTATTTTGATCTTTGTGCATTGTGTAATATCGAAGCAAACACCACATAGCTCGAATAATTTCAGGTATAAAATATATTCTAAGGTGCCCGAGTGTTCATCGGTACCTCAAGATCCAATATTCAAGCCCTACTTCATCAAAAGTACTCAAGGTGTACAGTTACTTGTCTGATATTGTTCAGTACATGAACGTCAAAGGTACTTGAACATTAGATTTAAATTGCAGGGCAAAAATATATAGATCACGAAAGGTGTTCAAGCGTCATTTCATTTCCATTTTCTTGTTATAAACCTGTCTGCATTAGTATTGTTTCCAAATTACAAACTGGTTGTTGTGTTTTGATCCAGGATATTGAAATTGTACTGATCAGTTCAAAACAGTTCTTATTATGTCTCATACATGAATCATCATCTTCTAATTACATACAGAAACATTCTACTTCATTTAATGAACAGGATATCGAATTGTACACTGGCTTCTCGTAATTCTGCATAATTCAGTAGGGTAATTACATATAACAGCACCCAGCAAGCTAAGGCGGAGATAGTGGAAAACAAATTGCATAAATAATATCTGTTGTTTCCAGTATTGTTGCAGTCATGTGAGCAGTTGGTAATACCAGCTGGATTAAAGCAAATCTCTCTGAGCTCACTGAAGCTGATACCCAGAGCTTAACTAGACCCCTGTCGTGTTTAATATGGCTACACTAACAGCAGATACCACCATAATCCCGCGATCAGCTTTCGGTCTCCGCTATGTAATTACTTTGAGAGATTAAGGCGAGACTGTGCATTATGAAAATTGATTTCCAATCAATGCCAAGGTGAGAAAAGGTCCAATCGGGTTATTCAGGGCGAAGTGCCAGGTGGTCATAATCTATGTTATTAGTAACTGGGGCTTATCTTTAAGTCTAGTGTATAACGAAAAACGTGTTTGACAATCCAAGGCCGTAGCGCAATCGAGGCAGATGAGGCAAAGGCCTCACTTTTTAAAAGTTTTTTTTTCAAGTGTGTATCCTACAAACACCCGTATATCAACTTGGATTGCGCTACGGCTTTGCAATCATTCTGAAAGTCTTTTGCCATTCACTATAAGACATCTTAATCAGTGGTTTTATCGACAAAAACAACATCATACCAAAGGGAATAGTTCTATTAAAAGTGACCGTGTTTTTTGTAATTTAATCTCGCAGTATTTAACGTAATAAACAAAATGTTAGAAAAAAATCAGTACATACTATTTGATTTTAACAACCAGAGAACAATCTAGCGGAGTCCACAAATCATACAGAAATTTGCTACCACACAAGCCATCAATTCCTTTAATATCAAGGCTTAGTATGTTATTTTGAGGTATTTCTATGATAGCACTTCTTTTCTACTTATTTTTATTTGCTTTAAAAAAACCAGAGAACAATCTAGAGTAGTTCACAAAGCATACAAAAACTGGCTACCACACCAACTTTAACGTAAAGGCGTTTTGAGATATTTACATCATAGGCGTAATTATGTGAGATGGATAAAAAGCCTTTTTTGCAAACGATATTACCAAATGAAGCTCATAAAGGAAAGATTATTATTTATAAATGGAAAGAAAATTTGGGTTTTTTTGTTACATCTTTTAACTAATAGATCTGATAATGAGACACGCACGAAAGTAATGTAATTTGACATTGCACAAATCAGCATGGCTTGTTATTCTGCAGATCAAGCTGTGTGGAAACGAATAATCTAGCACCATCTAGGAATATATACTGAACCTCTGTTGTGTTCGCTTATCGCTACACTATCGGTACGAGGCTTTAGATGGAACTGGGGTCGGTTTATGGGGCATATTGCCATAGATCATAGAACGTTTTTAAGAGACCAAATGCATAAAATATCACTTTTTCCACTTTTAATGATATAACATCCAGTGGATCCAAAATGTTATGCTTTTCAATTTTTGAAAAATCCCTTTAAGTTACATAACATCTTCTTCAGCACAATCAAAGATATCATTAATAGGAATTTTTATTTTATTTAAATGACATACACGTATAGTAGGTTTTTTTCGCCTTTATGGCGTGACTGTTGAAGAGTTGTTGCTTAAGGAGGTTACATAGAAGCAGATCGATCATTAGTGGTAATGAGTGTTTTTCAGAAGGTATATGGAGCTAATCCATCTATCACTGGCAACAATTCTACTATGAATCTTTCTATGACTTATACTGTCTGACACCGATGTGTCGTATTTTGCCAGTTATGTTTTAATGAATGCAATAAAAACATTGTTTCATTTTCAGGAGAAATTAATGAAAGGAGAGAGTGTTTATTTCAAATGTAAATTTATCTAACTTTATACTTCTGTATACTTCAACGCAAATGACAATAATAACGTACAATTGAAAGTTATATTTGAAATAATTGGGAATCAATATTTGGCTGACTGTGGTCGCAGAATTAACAAAGGTGAATCTAGAATAGAAACGAACTATCTTGGTATTTTGTACATTCGATATCTTTATAATATTAGTTTCTGACGTTAAGACAAACACCATGATGCTGCTTTGTAGGCCTACATAAGAAAAGAAAGTCGCATGCTTGCATCGGAGCACTCGTCGTTTTTGATTCTTTAGGAGATACTGAACAGGCAAATGCATTTTCATGATCATGAATTTGGTTGAGCTTGGAGCAACAAGAATTATTAAAATTTAATTGAAGACAACCTGAAACAACCTGGAACATTAAGTCTATAGGAATGGAAACGACTAACTTTTCAAAATACTTGCCTTAATAAATAAAATATAATAATACGTTACCTTGAAATGGAACAAAAATATTTTTATATCCTTCAATCACTGTCTCATTTATCACAAAACTTAAACACATATAACTTTCCATATCACAATTAGAGAAATCGGGGAGTAGCACTGTCCCTAAAGCCCCATCGGTGGTCGATCGTAATAAAGAATCTAAGGTCTCTCTCTCGGACGTCCTTAACGATATAACTAATAGTTCCGGCGAAGATAGCACCATTCTAGTGTAGAAATGATATGATGATTTTAGATTTGATGTTATGATATTAGGAAGGTCTTTTGTTGAATTGATATCCCCGGGGTATATATACTGAGTGAAATTCGAGTCGCCACATTCTACTTCTCCCGTGGAATTATTGGACATCAGTCTTGTCATGTGAACATTCATTTGGAAGAATCCTGAAATTAAAAAATACTTTTGGATATTTGGATATTCCAGAAACTCTAGGTGACCAGGTGGCGCGCTAATTAATACCAACTCTCAAATTAACATCGTCTCGTGGAAATCAGTTTTGCCGTCAACGTACACCAGGTGGCGCGCTAATTAATACCAACTCTCAAATTAACATCGTCTAGTGGAAATCAGTTATGCGTCAACTTACACCAGGTGGCGCGCTAATTAATACCAACTCTCAAATTAATATCGTCTCGTGGAAATCAGTTATGCCGTCAACTTACACTAGGTGGCGTGAGCAAGACACCGCGCTACCTCTCGAGTAGAGTCCAGCAAACGTTGCTGAGCATCATCATCTGCTGATGATAGGCCTGATGGCCTATGTCCACTTGTTGTTGTTTGGGGAAAAATCGACTGAGATAACACATGGTGTATAACAGCTGCCAAAGGGCTAAGGTCGTTGACCCACCGTAGAGCAGTCTGTATTATTTACGGCATGGCCAAGATAATTTCCCAAAGTTGTTACGAGAACGCCCTGGTTGAATATTTCTTAATTTGTGTATTCATTATAAAAAACACTCAGTTTCTATATTTCGAACCTGGCACAAAACGAAAAATGATTTTAATTTGACACGAAAATCGCGCGCCACCTGGTGTATGTTGAAGGCATAACTGATTTCCACGAGACGACATTTGCATGAATGGCGTTCCATAATTGTGTACATTAGAGAAAGAGACATATAATACAAACCTTTATATTCTGAATATTCACCCCAGCCATAAATTGGATTAAATAAAATGAAGGCCACTAAGAGATATAAACCCATAACCAGCAGCTTGGTATTAATCTCAGAAAAAACTGAACGATGATCATCTGGTAGCATTAGCTTATAATACCTGTAATGTACAGTAACAAAATATTTTAAGGTTTAATACATCAATTGTAGAGCGATATAGAAATACCACTGTTAAAATAGTGCTCAATAAATTAATTGTAGAGTGATATAGAAATACCAATGTTAAAATAGTGCTCAATAAATTAATTGTAGAGTGATATAGAAATACCACTGTTAAAATAGTGCTCAATAAATTAATTGTAGAGCGATATAGAAATACCACTGTTAAAATAGTGCTCAATAAATTAATTGTAGAGTGATATAGAAATACCAATGTTAAAATAGTGCTCAATACATGAATTGTAGAGCGATATAGAAATACCACTGTTAAAATAGTGCTCAATAAATTAATCGTAGAGCAATATAGAAATACCACTGTTAAAATAGTGCTCAATACATCAATAGTAGAGTGGTATAGAAATACAACTGTTAAAATAGTGCTCAATACATCAATTGTAGAGCATATTGAAATACCACTATTAAAATAGTGCTCAATATATCAATTGTAGAGTGATATAGAAATACCACTATTAAAATAGTGCTCAATACATCAATTGTAGAATGATATAGAAATACAACTTTTAAAATAGTGCTCAATACATTAATTGTAGTGCGATATAGAAATACCACTATTAAAATAGTGCTCAATATATCAATTATAGAGTGATATAGAAATAACACCGTTAAAATAATGCTTAATACACCAATTGTAGAGCGATATAGAAATACCACTGTTAAAATAGTGCTCAATACAACAATTATAGAACGATATAGAAATACCACTGTTAAAATAGTACTTAATACATCAATAGTAGAGTGATATAGAAATACCACTATTAAAATAGTGCTCAATATATCAATTGTAGAGTGATATAGAAATACAACTGTTAAAATAGTGCTCAATACATTAATTGTAGTGCGATATAGAAATACCTCTGTTAAAATAGTGCTCAATACATTAATTGTAGTGCGATATAGAAATACCTCTGTTAAAATAGTGCTCAATACATTAATTGTAGAGCGATATAGAAATACCTCTGTTAAAATAGTGCTCAATACATTAATTGTAGTGCGATATAGAAATACCACTGTTAAAATAGTGCTCAATACATCAATTATAGAGTGATATAGAAATAACACCGTTAAAATAATGCTTAATACACCAATTGTAGAGCGATATAGAAATACCACTGTTAAAATAGTGCTCAATACAACAATTATATAACGATATAGAAATACCACTGTTAAAATAGTACTAAATACATCAATAGTAGAGTGATATAGAAATACCTCTGTTAAAATAGTGCTCAATACATTAATTGTAGTGCGATATAGAAATACCACTGTTAAAATAGTGCTCAATACATCAATTATAGAGTGATATAGAAATAACACCGTTAAAATAATGCTTAATACACCAATTGTAGAGCGATATAGAAATACCACTGTTAAAATAGTGCTCAATACAACAATTATAGAACGATATAGAAATAACACCGTTAAAATAGTGCTTCATACATCAATTGTAGAGCGATATAGAAATACCGCTGTTAAAATAATGCTCAATACAACAATTATAGAACGATATAGAAATAACACCGTTAAAATAGTGCTTCATACATCAATTGTAGAGCGATATAGAAATACCACTGTTAAAATAGTGCTCAATACAACAATTATAGAACGATATAGAAATAACACCGTTAAAATAGTGCTTCATACATCAATTATAGAACGATATAGAAATACCACTGTTAAAATAGTACTTAATACATCAATTGTAGAGCGATATAAAAATATCACTGTTAAAATAGTGCTCAAAAATCTCTTGTAGAGCGATATTGAACTATTAAAACAGAACCTGAAACATTTTGTCTAATTTAGGTTCTGTTTTATATTCCAGCCGCAAATATACATTTTTAAAAAATCATCCTTTAATTATATTAAATAGGAATAGTTTCAATGGTCTGATGTATAATTATTTTAACTTTACTTTAATTATATTTAATAAGAGTAGTTCAAATCGCCATGTTCTCAGATAACATGGAAAGCTGACAAGCAGATTACATGCTAGTAGTTAAGAGATTGAAAATAGAACAAATCAATGTACTACTTTTTTTTAAAAAATCCTTCTTAAGTCGAATTAAGATGCTTTATATATCATATTACAGACGGCGCTGAGACAGGTGATATATAACTTGTTTTCTCATATGTCATGTCAATCAGTAAAAATAGATGGTGAGGGGGGGGGGGGGGGGGGGGGGCCCAAGGGGTCCCCCTTTTTTTTCAAAACGATAATTTTAC